CAGCTATGCAAGTGAAAAACATCTGAAATCAACAAAACAGCTGAGACAAAAATGTTTCTCTCTGCCCTTCCCCAGTGCCATCCCTGCCCCCAAGTTCTTTTCCACATTTTACAAACCACTGAAGATCCTAATCATGGATTTATCAAGTTGAGTCTGGTTTGAGCCTGAGTCAGTGGAAAATCAAAAGGAAAGAAACAATAGTTGTTAACAGGGGGCTAGCCCACCAGGAAGGTTGATCTTTTTATATCCATCTGAAAATCAAAATATTTTAGCAAGTTCTGGAATCTGAAGTAAATTGCCACACGAGTATTTCACAAAGCCATAGATCTTGGCAACAGACCAAACAATGGCCATCATCTGCAAGGAACCTTCATCATTAAAGAATATACTTCTCCAGGTCCCAAAGTCATCCTGTCCAGTACTGCTTATGTGCATGGACAACTGTATTAAAGCCTGCATTTTAAACTATGGAGTGTATCCATTCCTTAACTGCCACAGACCATCCTTGTTAGATATCACCTAGCTGGATTACACTTTTTCCACTTTCTCTAAGAATGCTTAAGCATGAAGTGCCATAGCACAAGATGGAATGAATTGCTTCAGATTCATTAACAGAATGTAGTCTTGTCCAGGAAGACAGAGAGAGATGGAGAGACCAATGCCTGCTTATTCCTTTCAGAAGTTTCCACCTGATGTTAAAATTCTCAGAGTCCAAACCTACTGAGTTCAATAGAGCTGAGGTCCACGAAAAGGTGCACAGGCAATTGGAACTGGCTTCTCCCCACAAATCTCCCTCGAGAAGGCCCTCCCTTCCAACGCTGCGATTTCCCCGATATAGCCCCAGGACCCCTTTCAACCCTGGCCTCTTTGCAGGCTAGCTCCACGGTATCTGAAGCAGCGAGTCCCTTCGAGCACGTGCAAAGCGCCTTCCAACTTCCAGGCCCCACGTCACTGCCAAAGAAGGCCTCGGAGCGCCCAGGGTGTGGCACGCAGGCAGCAGGGCCGGATCCCCAGCATCCCTCCTCTCCAGGATCCATCCCCGACGGCTGCCAACTAGCTTTTCCTCCCTCCAGGGCGTCCCCCGTCCTACTCCTTTGTTCTGGAGCCAGGGTGCAGCAGACTGCGGTGCGAGTGCCCCCGGCAGAGTCTCCCAGCGACCGGCACTCGCGTGGGAGGGGAGGGGAGGGGAGGGGTCCGGGAGGAGAAGCCGCCCCGGGATCTGCCCCGCTTACCTCTGCAATGGGCCGCCAGCAGCACAAAAGCCAAACAGGCGAAAAGGGCGAGCCGCGGCATGGTCCCGACCGGTCTTCAGGGGAGGGATCCTCGTCCCAAGGGCCGGGGCGCACCTCGCAAGGCTCCTCTCGCAGAAGCGGCCGCAGCCGACGCCTGGGACCCTCGGCGTAACTCCTACTTTAGCCCTTTCGCGGAAGGCGGCGGCGGCAACAGCCAGCGACCCCCCCGCCTCGCCTCGCCCGCTCTCGAAGCGAACCCCGCGAAACAAACAAACAACCCAAAGTTGGAGAGGCGCAGCCAGCAGTGGGCTATAGCTGAACGCGCTCCAGCCTCAGAGGTCTGCCTGCCGGAGGCGGCCACCCAATCCAGAGAGGGCGCTGAACTCCAGCAGCCAATGGAAGTCGAGAACAATCTCTCCGTTCTCTCCCATCCTGCAGAAAGAGGGAAAGCGGTTGAGTCATGCCTCGAAGTAACAGGACACCCGCAGGCGGGCAGCGGCCTCGGGTGTGGCGTAGTTTGGCTTCCCTGAGCTTCAGGCCAAGCGAAACAGAAGAGGATCATCCTAAAGTTACAAAAGGCGATTCCGGAGTGTATGCCGGGGGAAGAAGGTTAGAAAAATATAAAGAACTACTGCAAGTATGCAATCAGTGATTATAATAACAATAATCTTCCAAGTGAGTACAAAATTACAAAATACATAGTAATAGTAACATTTTTGTTTTACAGATGACACATAGATGGACGAAATTCCCCGGAGTTGGTGTTCCGTTTCCTAATGACTTCCTCACACATCAACAATCCTAACAAAAAAACATTCTTGCAGTTATTTCAGAACAATATACCTTGCTACAATGTTACTTGTAATTATGATAAAAAATGACTTCAACTTGGATACATACATAAGAAGTGCCCTCATACAGTCATAAATGCTCCAAATGGATTCTTCATTAATCTACAATAAAATTCCATATCAAATCACTATGGTCATGTACATAGTTTACTTAATATTAACAATACATCCAACAAAGTTATTAACAGGTTTAATAAAAAAAACTCTTACCACAAATGTGTATGTTGTTCATTCCTGTTGTATAACAGACCAAAATGTACATGCGGGCTCATTAGCCTTATCTGGTACCCACTACCCCAGTCTTTTATATTCATTTCTTAACTCAAGCTCTGTTCCCATACATTCAATAATGTATCAAGAATGACCTCTTGTGTGAATGACCATCACACTAGAGAGGTGGAATTTGCCCCTAGGAGTCGAAGGCCACCACACCGGGGCTCAGCGAGGCCGGGGAACGTTTCGTCCCTGCCCCCACGACTGTTGCAGCTGCCGCCGCCAGCAGCAGCCATAACTTTTTTAAGAGCCTTTAACGAGCTGGGGGAGCCAGAATCACCATCACACACAAGAGGTGGAATTTGCCCCTACAAGTCCAAGGCCACCACCCCGGGGCTCAGGGAGGCCGGGGAACGTTTCGTCCCTGCCCCCACGACTGTTGCAGCTGCCGCCGCCAGCAGCAGCCATAACTTTTTTAAGAGCCTTTAACGAGCTGGGGGAGCCAGAATCACCATCACACACAAGAGGTGGAATTTGCCACTACTAAATTTACCTTTGTGTCCTGAAATCTATTTGTTAAATATTTTACCAGATAATTGTAATAAAATAGATCAATATGTAATAACATATATGCTAACATCTTCCCGTATTTTATTTGCCAAATATTAGAAACAAGAGAAAAAACCTTCATGAGAAGAATGGATACATAGAACGTTGGATATAGCTGAGATGGACAATTTAACACTGTTTATACAAGGTAAAGATGAGGATGTGTTCATTAAAAGGTGGCATAGATTTTATATATGGATAGAAAATAATTACCAAAAATAGACTCATGATAACCTGAATACATTAATGTATGTGATGCATCTGTTATGTATAATGTAAAAATTATTAATAAAATTTATTTTTAAAAAATTGCCCCTACGAGTCCAAGGCCACCACCTCGCTCAGCGAGGACGGGGAACGTTTCGCCCCCACCCCCAGCGACTGTTGCAACTGCTGCCAACAGCGGCAGCCATCACTTTTTAAAGAGCCCCTAAGAAGAGCTGGGGGAGCCAGAATGACCTCTCACGTGAATGACCCTCACACGCGAGAGGTGGAATTTACCCCTAGGAGTCCAAGGCCACCACCCCGCGAGAGGTGGAATTTCCCCCTACGAGTCCAAGGCCACCACCCCGGGGGTCAGGGAGCTCGGGGAACATTTCGTCCCGCCCTCCGCGGCCGTTGCAGCTGCTGCCGACAGCTGTGGTGGCCATAACTTTTTAAAGAGCCCCTAAGGAGAGCTGGGGGAGCCAGAATGACCTCTCACATGTGATATCCAAGCGGCGATGCCATAACTTTTTAAAGAGCCTTTAACAAGAGTTGGGGGAGCCAGAATGACCTCTTGCATGAATGACCATCACACACAAGAGGTGGAATTTGCCCGTACGAGTTCAAGGCCACCACCCCGGGGCTCAGCGAGGCCGTTGCAGCTGCTACCGACAGCTGTGGCAGCCATAACTTTTTAAAAAGCCCCCAAGGAGAACTGGGGGAGCCAGAATGACCTCTCGCATGTGATGTCCACGTGTGATGTCCGCGGTGGTGGCCTTGGACTCGTAGGGGCAAATTCCACCTCTCGCATGTGATTGTCATTCACTCGAGAGGTTATTCATGCGAGAGGTCATTCTGGCTCCCCCAGCTCTCCTTAGGGGCTCTTTAAAAAGTTATGCCCCCCGCCGCTGTCGGCAGCAGCTGCAACAGTCGCGGGGGACGGGGGCGAAACATTCCTAGGCTTCCCTGAGTCCCGGGGTGGTGGCCTTGGACTCGTAGGGGCAAATTCCACCTCTCGCGTGTGATGTCCAAGCGGCTCGGACATCACACACTAGAGGTCATTCTGGCTCCCCCAGCTCTCGTTAGGGGTTCTTTTAAAAGTGATGGCCACGGGGGGGGGGGAAGTTCCCCCCAAACCTTGAGAATAACATAAAGTGACATATTGATGTGTTATGAATACAGAGTGCTCTGTTGTATCAACTGATGAAGATTGTTTGATAGATAAAACATCTTTATAGCGGAAATTAGGTATGTATGTTTTTTTATATATATTTTGTAACTATGTAATTGTCTAATAGTTAAGTAATAATGCAGATTATAATTTATAGATAGTCCCTTTTATTTATTTATTTATTTATTTATTTATTTATTTATTTATCAAATTTAATACCCCGCCCTCCCAGTTGAGGAGCTGCCAGTGCAGTCTAAACAGCTTTCTGACTTCATTGAAGTCAATAGGTTTGGAAGGGTTTAACCACAGAGTTTTTTTGCAAGTCACTGAATGCCCACAGGACATCATGACATTACTTTTGGTTTTCACCTGAAGCAATATCACATACCAGCATGATGCCGGAGGCCCTGTGCCCACCCCCCAAATGCTCCCAGGGGTTCCAAGCTGTGCCCTGGCAGCCATAACTCTCCCCAGGACTGCACTATGGTATTTTGAGGAATTTCCGTAAGAATTCATAGTCTGAGTTTTTTCTAGACAAAGGCTTTGAGACTGCTATACATTTGAGGTGCTTTTCATACTGAAGTTGTTTCGGACTGTTCCTCATTCTGGTAACCTTTATCTGTGTACCCAGAAATACAACATGAAGAATTCTTGTGGTGGCGTAAGTACTTTTACTCTACCTTTCACAGACTTCAGACTTTTGGCTTTTATTTTTGCTGTAGCAGGCTGTTCCTCTGGAATTAGTATATAGAGCAACTCTTGCAGTATTTGAGGCATTAAGTTTACAATGGATGCTGGAGACTGAAGGGTGGGCACATTATCTTCAAGAGCATTATGACACTGGATAATCAAAAGCATATCCCTAGCAGTTCTAAATAACTCAGGCTTCACTAATGCATTCTTTTTGCTAGAATATGAACTTCCACACATATTTCCAATGAGATTCCAGTGCCAGTAGAGGAATGAGGCAGTCGCATTGGCATAGGTTATGCTGTCATGGTGATTGATGAAGGTTTGCAAAGTGATGCTTCAGCCTGTGGACTCTCTTTGGAACAGACTGATACTGCAGCAGTGAACATCCAGCAATAGACAATACAACACCCTTTGTCTGCATCAGAAAAGTTGATTGCAGAATATCTTAGCTATATTATCTGACACTGTATATGTTTGTAGAAGCTTTTCAGAGAAATTGTAAATCTTTAGCAGGATCATCTCATATTTGCAGACAGTTCTTTGCTGAATCCAGGACACTGTTGCATAGCCAAACGTTGCTGGCTGCTTGCAATGTGCTTTCCTTTCTCTTGTCATGTTGCCATTTTACAATGGGAAAGAACCAGAAATTTCCCTCAATATAATCTAATGACCATATTGTACCATGGCTTTGCCTATTATTTATTTTTGACATTTTCCTATCTGTATTACTCCCAAAGTCTCCCCATGATCATATTATGTACAATTCCTGTCTAAATTTTGTTAGTTTCAGAACCAAGAAGCATTAATGTCAGTGTTTCGATTAACCCTATAAACAGTTGTGAGTTTGTTATGGTAGTGTTATGGTACAGTTGTGAGAATTGTTATGGTACATGTGATGCTATGACTTGCACTTAGACTTTTGTCATGTTGGATGCAGGAAGATGATATGTACAAATTGGCACCAATTTCAGCCATTTTTATATTACAGTGCCGTTTTATCCCGCCGTTCCTCCAAGGGGCTCAGGATGCCTCTTCCATTCAATTCTTATAATTCTGTTAAGCTATGTTGACAGAATGTGCGACTGGCCCAAGATCATCCCATGAGCATTGTGGCTTAGTAGGGATTTGAGCTTGGCTTTCCCTAGACCTAATCGGTCGCTCTAACTTCTAGACTGCGTTGATGATCTCACATAGCCATACACTTTATGCAGCAGTTACTGGTACCGACTACCCCTGTTATGAGGAGTCAGAGTGGGGCTGAACCCCACTAAAATTAATCATACTGAACCATTTGAAATTCTGTGCAATATTCAGAAACATGTATTGTTTATTTCATCTGTGTGCTGTGGAAAGAATGTACATGAACTGCAACTCTAAATGACCTGGCAATCCCTCACAAAACTGCATAGTCCAGAATTTTTGAATTTTTTGAAAGTGATAATAGCCAAAACTTCTGTATCTTATGAAGTCAATGTCTTGACCTGGGTTCCTGTGAACTTCTTGGTATTAGATCTGTGATGGCTGCTCATTGACACCGACAAGTAATCACATTGTTATGGGACAAAGTTTCTGTTTTGCATGATTTTACTTGGTTACTTTTGATGAATTCGACAAA